TGGGGAGGAGAGGTCCCGGTGGGGAGGAGAGGTCCTGGTGGAATGTACCATCCTCAGTGTATAATAGGGGAGGATGGGCACGGAGATGGGAAGCTGTGATACTGACGTGTAGAAATGCTGACACATGTATGACCTGGACACGGGGATAGCGGCGACATACGGTGAGGAGCGGTACCACATGTGTGGCCTGTCATGGGGGAGATTCATCAGCCGGCGGCCACACAGAGACATGAACAGCGCTCCGGTATTCCAGATATCAATCGCTGATACCGAGATCTGTGCAGACTTGTACTGCCGGTCACATGTCACGTGTTCCTAGGACCCCCGGGGGCCACACAGCTATTCTGACACGGGAGAGGCTCCCGGCGTGTTCCATTCACCGACCTGAACCTCCATCACAGGAAGAAAATCAGAGGACAGAAAGTTATATGTACTATGTATACCCCCCCCATGGAGGACTGCCCCGTACATACCCCCCCATGGAGGACTGCCCCGTACATACCCCCCATGGAGGACTGCCCCGTACATACCCCCCATGGAGGACTGCCCCGTACATACCCCCCATGGAGGACTGCCCCGTACATACCCCCCATGGAGGACTGCCCCGTACATACCCCCCATGGAGGACTGCCCCGTACATACCCCCCATGGAGGACTGCCCCGTACATACCCCCCATGGAGGACTGCCCCGTACATACCCCCCATGGAGGACTGCCCCGTACATACCCCCCATGGAGGACTGCCCCGTACATACCCCCCATGGAGGACTGCCCCGTACATACCCCCCATGGAGGACTGCCCCGTACATACCCCCCATGGAGGACTGCCCCGTACATACCCCCCATGGAGGACTGCCCCGTACATACCCCCCATGGAGGACTGCCCCGTACATACCCCCCATGGAGGACTGCCCCGTACATACCCCCCATGGAGGACTGCCCCGTACATACCCCCCATGGAGGACTGCCCCGTACATACCCCCCATGGAGGACTGCCCCGTACATACCCCCCATGGAGGACTGCCCCGTACATACCCCCCATGGAGGACTGCCCCGTACATACCCCCCATGGAGGACTGCCCCGTACATACCCCCCATGGAGGACTGCCCCGTACATACCCCCCATGGAGGACTGCCCCGTACATACCCCCCATGGAGGACTGCCCCGTACATACCCCCCATGGAGGACTGCCCCGTACATACCCCCCATGGAGGACTGCCCCGTACATACCCCCCATGGAGGACTGCCCCGTACATACCCCCCATGGAGGACTGCCCCGTACATACCCCCCATGGAGGACTGCCCCGTACATACCCCCCATGGAGGACTGCCCCGTACATACCCCCCATGGAGGACTGCCCCGTACATACCCCCCATGGAGGACTGCCCCGTACATACCCCCCATGGAGGACTGCCCCGTACATACCCCCCATGGAGGACTGCCCCGTACATACCCCCCATGGAGGACTGCCCCGTACATACCCCCCATGGAGGACTGCCCCGTACATACCCCCCATGGAGGACTGCCCCGTACATACCCCCCATGGAGGACTGCCCCGTACATACCCCCCATGGAGGACTGCCCCGTACATACCCCCCATGGAGGACTGCCCCGTACATACCCCCCATGGAGGACTGCCCCGTACATACCCCCCATGGAGGACTGCCCCGTACATACCCCCCATGGAGGACTGCCCCGTACATACCCCCCATGGAGGACTGCCCCGTACATACCCCCCATGGAGGACTGCCCCGTACATACCCCCCATGGAGGACTGCCCCGTACATACCCCCCATGGAGGACTGCCCCGTACATACCCCCCATGGAGGACTGCCCCGTACATACCCCCCATGGAGGACTGCCCCGTACATACCCCCCATGGAGGACTGCCCCGTACATACCCCCCATGGAGGACTGCCCCGTACATACCCCCCATGGAGGACTGCCCCGTACATACCCCCCATGGAGGACTGCCCCGTACATACCCCCCATGGAGGACTGCCCCGTACATACCCCCCATGGAGGACTGCCCCGTACATACCCCCCATGGAGGACTGCCCCGTACATACCCCCCATGGAGGACTGCCCCGTACATACCCCCCATGGAGGACTGCCCCGTACATACCCCCCATGGAGGACTGCCCCGTACATACCCCCCATGGAGGACTGCCCCGTACATACCCCCCATGGAGGACTGCCCCGTACATACCCCCCATGGAGGACTGCCCCGTACATATGGGATCGGTGGATGGGAGTCCCTCACGCACATATGTGACCAGGACCTGGGGTGACCCGTGATCCACAACGTGACCTTTAGTCTCCCAGCTGATTGGACACGTATGTAGCCCTGTATATGATGATTTCTGGTGGCCCCGCCCCCGCTTTGGTCTGGGATTGGCTCTGATTGGACGCTCACCGAGGTGGCAGTGGTGGATCCAGATCCGGTGGCCGTCGTATTTGCAGTTACACTTCATGGCGTTGTTGGTGAAGTCGCTCTCCGCCACCTCGAAATTCGGGTTAATGACGACCTGCAAGGAGAGGAGAACACGGAAACATGGAACATGAGATCCGAACACGGGACATGAGATCCGAACACAGGAACATGGGACATGAGATCCGAACATGGGAACACGGAACATGAGATCCGAACACGGAACATGAGATCAGAACACGGGACATGAGATCCGAACACTGGGACATGAGATCCGAACACAGGAACACGGAACATGAGATCAGAACACGGGAACACGGGACATGAGATCCGAACACAGGAACACGGAACATGAGATCAGAACACGGGAACACGGGACATGAGATCCGAACACGGGAACACGGAACATGAGATCCGAACACGGGGCATGAGATCCGAACACGGGACATGAGATCCGAACATGGGAACACGGAACATGAGATCCGAACACGGGACATGAAATCCGAACACGGAACATGAGATCAGAACACGGGACATGAGATCCGAACACGGGAACACGGAACATGAGATCCGAACACGGAACATGAGATCAGAACACGGGACATGAGATTCGAACACGGGAACACGGAACATGAGATCCGAACACGGGACATGAGATCCAAACACGGGACATGAGATCCGAACACGGGACATGAGATCCGAACATGGAACATGAGATCAGAACACAGGAACACGGGACATGAGATCCGAACACAGGAACACGGAACATGAGATCAGAACACGGGACATGAGATCCGAACACGGGAACACGGGACATGAGATCCGAACATGGGAACACGGAACATGAGATCCGAACACGGGAACACGGAACATGAGATCAGAACACGGGACACGAGACCAGAACATCGGAACAAATGAGATCCGAACACGGGAACACTGTACATGAGATCCGAACACGGGAACACGGAACATGAGATCAGAACACGGGAACACGGGACATGAGATCCGAACACGGGAACACGGAACGTGAGATCAGAACACGGGAACACGGGACATGAGATCAGAACACGGGAACACGGAACGTGAGATCCGACTGACGGGATCAGAACACGGAACATGAGACTGGATTTAGAATACGGGAAGCTCTCACCTGTAGTATGTAGTTGCCGGGTTTGACATCCGTGATATCGATCCATTGGCAGTCAATGTCGTGACGATACAAATCCCAACATCCCACCGTGATCCCTTGTTCCCCAAAGTTGGCGCATTCGTATCTCTTACTGACCACTGCGGAGAGAAAGAGAGCATGAGACGGCGTGACCACCATCCCCCATGTGACCGCCATCCTCCATGTGACCCCCATCCTCCATGTGACCCCCATCCCCCACGTGACCCCCATCCCCCACGTGACCACCATCCCCCACGTGACCACCATCCCCCATGTGACCACCATCTCCCATGTGACCACATACGTGACAGCTACTCCTACTATGGGGAGGAGCCAAGACCACATCTGATATATGGAGGTGACAGCTACGCCTACTATGGGGAGGAGCCAAGACCACATCTGATATAGGAAGGTGACAGCTACTCCTACTATGGGGAGGAGCCAAGACCACATCTGATATAGGAAGGTGACAGCTACTCCTACTATGGGGAGGAGCCAAGAATATAACATTGTGCAATGAGTTCTGGGGACAACCAACTACCGCTAGGCCTGCTTGTCTTAGGGGCCCGGGGTCTGCAGTAAGTGAAGCCCACCAGCTCATACAGGAGGGAACATGACAGGTTCTCCTTCTGACACAAGAACTTCCCGATATCGGAGGTGTCCATCTTCCTGGTGTCATTGGTCAGGAAGTAGATCTCTGCAAGTCCCTATGTTCCTGACAGAGCCGGGCCCACCCAGAGGCAGAAGAGGGACCCGCCCCAGGCGCTGTGGTGGAAAGGGCTTAGCTGGGCTGGGAGCCTCTCCTATCAGAATACTGATCCGGCCTCCTGACTTCTACACCGGGAGACGGGTTCTCTCCATGTGATCAGAGGGG